TCCCATCCCTGTGGAATATCCATCCCAAATCCCATTCCTGTGACTCTGACACCCCTGGGGAATTCAGGATGGCGGCAGCTGGAAGGAGCTTTCCAGGAAGTTCTTCCCATGGGAGCATCCCAAGAGAGAGGGAACCCAACCGTCCTTCCCAAAGTGTCTCGGGATTGTCCCAGCATGGATTTTCATGGATAAATATTCCTTTGATGTGGAGAATGGTTCGTTATCCCTTAACGAGGGGAGGAGGGGTGGGAGTGGGAAGAGGTGGAAAAGCTAAAATTCCATAAAAAATATGGATGATGGGTTTGGGGCACCCTCAGTGGGAGGGGTTTGCCCTGAAATGTCACCAAAACAGGAAAAGGGACAATTCCCAAAATTCCTCCTCAAATTCAGGACTGGGAGTGCGGCACTGATTCCCAAATCACGGAAAAGGCTCCGATCCCTCCTGGAGTGCAGGCAGGGCTTGGGGCCGCTCCGTTCTCCAGGCGATTCTCGGCATTTCCAGTGTCCCTGATGGATCCCAGCTCCCCTTCCCGGGCTGGGCTTCCCCAGTCCCGCTGCTCCGCCAGGAACACGCAATCCGTGTTTTTCCAAGCGGGACATTCCAGGTGGGAATTGCGGGAGCATCCCGCCCCCGCCGGCGGTTCTGGCTGGCTGGAATTCTGGATTTTAATTAAAGCGGCGTTCCCAGGCTCAGCTCAATCCCACAAGCCCAGTAAACTCCGGCTGTTGGTTTTCCATCAGTGATTTTATCCAGAAAAAAGGAGGGAAGGGATAAACATCCACATGTTCCTGGCCGAGCTTCCCGTGAACACCAGGATCCCCCTTCCCAGCAGGATTCAGATCCCAACGGAGCCGTTTCCTTCATTGGGATCATCCCTTCCCAGCAGGATTCAGATCCCAACACATCCATGGGGATCATCCCACCCCTTTAATAGGGCTGTCCCTCATGGGGAATTTCATCCCCACCCCATAAAATGAGGGACAAAAATCCCCCTCAGCCACACACAGAAAGGGAATTCCACATTCCCAGGGCTTTGGGTCATTCCTCCGTCTCCAATTCCCAGGAAACACCCCAAAATCAGGGATGACCACAAAAAAACCCCAAATTTTGTCATTTTTGGTGCTTTCCGAGCGGGATCTGCGGCTCTGAGCGAGCCCATCCCGCTGAATTCCCTCTCTGGTTCAGCCTCATTTCCATGGATGCATTCCCGCGTTTTGCATAAATGTTTGCTTAATGCAGAGTCCAAAATATCCCAGAAAATAAAAAACCCCGGGAACTCAAGGCGGCTCCCGGCTCCCAGGGCGGATCCCGCAGTTTCCATGGCACCCGGGGGGCTCTGGGATGCTTCCTCAAAAATCGGAGCTCAGGGAGGAAGGATTTGGATTCAGGACATCTGGATGGAAGTGAATTCACGTTTTTCAGGAATGCCCGGTTTCATTTTTGGGGCATATTCCAGCAGATTTGGGGTTCCTGGAGGGTGGAGAATTCCAGCTTGTTCCCAGCAGTAATTAGCATTAATTACCCTGGTAATTACTGAGCTCTGAGCAGGAGCTGCCAGCAGATTGGGAACCAACCCAGGCTGGGTGGGAATTTTGGGGTGGGAAATAAGGAATTCAATTGGATTTGGTGTTTCCAGGGCTGAGGAACCTCCTGGGCATCAGGAATTCCAGAGGGAAGGAAGGGAAAAGGGGAGAGAGGGAACTGCTTGCATAAGGATGGGCTTAATTAGAAATTAATTACTCAGTGGAGCAACCAAGGGGTTGCAGGAGGATTTAAGGAATCCTGGGGGGATCCATGCTCTAGCCAGGATTTTTTAGGAAGAAATTCCTCCCTGAGGGGCTGGGATGGAATTCCCAGAGGAGCTGTGGCTGCCCCTGGATCCCTGGGAGTGTCCAGGGCCAGGTTGGACAGGGCCTCAAAAATCTGAGAAATCCTGGGATTTGTGGCACAAAAATTGGGGATAAAACACAGGGAATGACAGCACCAAAGGTCAGATCCTCACTGCTCATTGGGAATGAGGGGCAGGAGAAGGGCCTGGGACCATTCCCAGGATATGAGGGGCAGGAGAAGGGACTGGGACCATTCCCAGGGAATGAGGAGCAGAAGAGATTGGGGCCATTCTCAGGGCAGGGAAAAGGGATTGGGGCCACCCCGAGGTCTGTGACACTCCAGCCTCTTCCAGAGCATTCCCACTAAAGGGAAAAGAATCCATCCCAGCTGGATACGAGCAACGTGTGCAGCAGCCAATGAAATCTTGGGAAGATCCAACCCCTTTCCCTCTTCTGAGCTTTCCCTTGTGGCCATGGAGCCACAGCGGAGGGGATGGACATGGGCCTGGAAGGGGAAAGCAGGGGAGAATGCCCTGAAATCCCAAATCTGAGGCTTTTTCCAGGCTTCCGTTCAGGGAATGGCCAGGGAATGATCCATGGATGGGCAGGGAATGGTCAGTTGGTCCCAGGGTGGGATTCTCTGCCCATACTGAGGTCATTCCCTGACCATTCCCTACCCATTCCGTGGTCATTCCCTGCCCGTTCCAGGCCGGGTCTCCAATCCCCGTTCCCTCCCCTTTTCCCAAGTTTCCCACCCCACAGCTTGGGGAACATCCCAGTGTCCCAAATCCTCCCAAACCCTTCCCGAGCTCAGCTGGAAAAGCCCCTGCAGCTCCTGAAGGAAACCTCTCCCTGCACCCAGGAACATCCCCACATCCTCCCGGGGTTTTGGGAATGCAAACCCCTCTGGAATGTGGGGAGCTTGGAACTGAAGCTTTTCCAAGCCCTAGCAGGGATTTCTGGAGCTGGGGAGGGATCACAGCCCTTTGCAGCATTGCTGTCACAGTGATCCATTCCCTCAATTCCCACTTCCATCAGGGAACGTTCCCGCTGATGCCAGGGGAAAATCCAATGCCGTTGCCAGGGCAGGAATGATTTATTCGGGCATAAAACCCGTCAGAATTCCTTGGAGTCTCCTCCGGGATGGGCTCAGCTGCAGAGATTGATTTGTTTACAGCAGCCACGGAAAGCGGGGGCTGCTCCCGGGAAAACACATCCCAAACTCAGCCGGGGATTTTCCAGCCACTCCCAAATATCCTGGAGCAGCCGAGGGAAGGGACAGACCCCATTGCTCAGCCCCCAAATTACCAGGGGGACGAAAAAACCCCAAAGGGGTTCAGATCCTCCAGGTTTGGGAACCAGCCGGGGCCTCCCGGGTGCTTGGAATCTTCCAAGGAGATTCTGGGCTGCTCTTCCAAGGAGATTCCAGGCTCCAAGCCTTGATTCCTTTGCCATTTTTGGGGTTGGATGAAGGCAGAGCTGAGATCCCTCCGGCTCCGTCCTGGCGGAATGGAGCCCGGCTCCAGAGGGATGGATAAAGCCAAAATCCATCTGGGATTTGGGGGTTAAGGACCACCTCTAAATCCACACATTCCTTAGGAAAAACTGGATTTTTCTTGTTTGGTTAATGGATGGCTGTGTGTGGATTTCTAAAAAATCCAAGTGTGGATCAAGCTCAGCTCCGGAGGGATTGATGGAGCCAAAATCAAACTGGGATTTGGGGGTTAAGGATCACCCTAAATCCACATATTCCTTGGGAAAAACGGGATTCTCTTGTTTGGCTGATGGACGGCTGTGTTTGGAAGGGGTTCTATGGAAACCCAGCTGTCACTCCTGTCCTGGGGACAGGGCTGGGCGGCATTTCCTTGGATCAGCCCTTCCCGGGAGCCTGGAATATCCTGAATAGGGACACAGTTCCCTAAATCCGGATTATCCCCCCGCAGGGAGATCCCGCGGCTCCATCCCGAGCTGGAGCTCGGATCTGATGATCCCAAAGGTGTTTTCCACCCTCAACAATTCCATGGCTCTGTGACTGCTTGGCTCCTCCTCCTGAGAACCATTCCTGCGGAGATCAATCCACGGCTTTTCCTCCTGCTCCATCCAGCGGCTCGGCCGGGAAAAACCGCCGGGAAAAACGGCGGCACCCAGCGGCAGCGTCCCTAAATCCTAAATTCCGGCTGGGAATGCCAGAAAAGCTCCTGCTTCTGGTGGAGTCAAACCCCTCTTCCCTCACTTTGGAACGCAATGGGATTCCCGAGCTTTGGGGACGGATCTGGCACATCCAGGCCATCCCAATTTTTTCCTAAAGCTCCCAGAGCACCAGGGATGCTCCAGGAGGAAAAGCCATGGATTTCCTTCCCTCTTGGTGGAGCTTTGCCTCAGGCACAGAGCTCGGGGCTCTCCCAGGAGTGCTTCCCAGGGATGTGGGACCTGGAGCCAGGTGAGGGTCACGGGGAATGGGGAACACACCTGGAGAGTGACAGGGAATGTGGGAACACACCTGGAATCACAGGGAATATGGGCATTACACCTGGAGAATGATGGAGAATATGGGAACACACCTGGAGAGTCATGGGGAATGTGGGAACACACCTGGAATCACAGGGAATATGGGCATTACACCTGGAGAATGATGGAGAATGTGGGAATACACCTGGAGAGTCACGGGGAATGTGGGAACACACCTGGAAGGGCAAAAAGAATATCGGGACCCACCTGGAGGGGAAGGCCTGGACGTTACACTCAGTGACAAGGTGGGGATCGGGCCCAGCTTGGACTCGGTGATCCCAAAGATTCCAACCTCAGCGATTCCGGGATAAGCGGCACTGCTCTGGCGGCTCCTCCTCCTACCGGGGGGGTTCCAGGGCAGTACCGGAGGCTGCTGACCCCGCTCCGGCCCCAGAACTGGGGGGGAAAAGGGGGAAATAGCGAGGCCGCCCCTTCCCTTCCCGGGCCCCTCACGGCTCCCTCAGAGCGCAGCCCCGCCCCCTTCGCCCTCACGACCGTTACTGAGCTCGCGCCGCCGTTCAAACCCGCCTCGGGGGCGGGAGCGCCGCGCGCTGATTGGCTGTCAGGCGGGTACCCCGCGCGCTGATTGGCTGGCAGGGGCGGAAGGGGCGCCCTGAGCGCGGCGCGGAGCCGTAGCCATGGCCGCCCGCAGTCCCCGCGCTGCCGCCACCGCCGCCACCGCCTTCCTCTCCCCGACCCCGCGGGCTCTCGGCAGCACCGGCACCCCCGTGCTCGCTGAGTGCCCCGGCAACGACGATGAGCACGAGAGGCGCCAGCGCCGCCGCTCCAGGGTTGTGGACTCGTCGCTGCAGGGTCTCGGCTCCCCATCGCTCAGGTAGGGCCGGTGCGCGGGGCTCGGGCTGAGGAGACCCCCGGGCACCGACCCCGCTGTATCCGGGCTGAGGGAACCCCCAGGCACTGATCCCGCTGTGTCCGGGCTGAGGAGACCCCCGGGCACTGATCCCGCTGGGCCCGGCTGAGGAGACCCCCGGGCACCGACCCCGCTGTGTCCCGGCTGAGGGGACCCCCGGGCACTGATCCCGCTGTGTCCCGGCTGAGGGGACCCCCGGGCACCGACCCCGCTGTGTCCCGCAGGACCGAGAGCTGGCAGCCGCCGCTGCCGCAGTGGACCAACGCGCAGATCTCGGAGCACTACAGCACCTGCATCAAGCTCTCCAACGAGAACGTGAGTCGGGGCAGCCGCGTTTGGGTTTAAAATCTCTGACAATTCTCTGCCCATCTCTCACGCCTCTTCCAAGGGGAAGCCGCGGCCACTCCCGTGTCCAGGCTGTCCCCTCGGTCCCCAGGGTGTCCCTGGCCAGGGGAAGGGTCCCAGCTGTGCTTTCTTGCAGAAAATCACCACCAAGAACGCCTTTGGGCTGCACCTGATCGATTACATGACCGACATCCTGAAGCAGAAGAACTCAGAGCTCACCAACTTCCAGGTCAGAGGGGTCCCTGCTGCTGCTGCTGCTTCGTTTCTGTTGGATTATTTCCTTTTCTGACCCAGAGATGGGGCAACTGAGAGGTGTTTTAAAAACTTCTACTCCGTTTTCAGTCTCATTTGGAGGGTGAGACAATACAGATGTTGTAATTCACGCCCTCACAATCAGAAGCTAACTATTTCCTAATTACAATACATTATAATTAATTTCTATTACATTACATTGCATTATATGCATTTCTTGGCCTATCAGTTTTAGCCACACCATGCTGTAGATGCCAGTCATTTAAAATTACCCTTTATGGGTCTTACTACAATGTTCTGTTTCTCCAAAGTATCCAGTCTTATTTACAAGGCCATCCTTTGAAACTTATTTCTATTTCTCTCTCAACAACACCTGTCCCATTCCATGGCATTTCTGAGTCAGCATTTCTTATCTCAAGGTTTGCATACAGATGCACACTATGTGAGCTTTCTGTCTTTGAGAATTTTCTACAAATCTATTTTTTTAATAAATTGGGTGTAATTACTAATACATTTTTCTTTACACCCTTTTAAAGTTTTAAGCCTTCTTTACCTCTCCTGATTCTATCTCACAACGAAAAAATAAACACATTCTAATAAATACATAAGTTATATATTATATTAATATATGTTAATATATTAATATATCTTCTATATACATATTTTGTAATGTATATCAATGTATATTAATATATATTAATGTATATGAATGTTAATATATAATTAATATATAATATATATTATATATAGTGTATATATAATATAATATATATTATATACTATATCTATTATATTATATATTATATATAGTGTATATATATAATATAATATATATTATTATTTATATATTTATATATCAAAATACAAATATATAAATATACAAATAGATAAATATAATATATTTGATAAATATATTTATATTTGGTATTATATAAATTATATATAATTAATATATATAATATATATAATGTAGTATAATATAATATTAAATAATAATTACTACATTGTATGTGTTATGAGTCATTAGCCAACACTAAACCCACCACACTAATTAATACATTAACCAAAAAAATCCCCAATTAGCAAACCAAAACCACTGCACAAAACTGGCATTTCTAAACAATTCCTAAAGGATTTTTAGCTGCGATCCCAAAAAAAACAACCCCGAGCTGTGGGGAGAAGGCCCTGTGGGGAGTCCACAGCTTTCCCTGTGATGTTATTCCTTCATGCCGGTGTTTTGGGGGGCAGAGCAGCGGGGGGTGGCTCTGGGATGCCCGGGTGGGGGCTGCCCTGTCCCGCTGGCAGCTCCCTGTTCCCCGCAGGTGGCGGCCGGGACTCTGGACGCCAGCGCCAAGATCTACGCCGTGCGCGTGGATTCCGTGCACGCCGACGCCTTCAGGGTGCTGGGCCACCTGGGCAAGGAGCCGGCCCCTGCCCGGGACCCAGACAGCTCCCAGGAAGGTGGGAATTCCCTCTTTTCCTCCCAAAAATCCCTGGGGTTCCATCGTTTCGCAGATGGGATCGGGGGGAGCCTCGGCGCTCTTTGGGAGTTCTGAAGAGGTTTGCAATTAATCGGGTTTTCCAAGGGCTGGGAGGTCCCAGATTGGTTTTCCTGGAATGCTGGCACAGGGAGGGGTGGGAGGAGGAGCTGGATCTGTCACTCAGTGATTTTAGATTTCAGTTTGGGGCCAAACAGGGGCACTTTGGGATCAGATAGGGGCAGTTTTTTGCCAAACAGAATCCATAAAAAGCCAGCGGAACATTGCTCATGCCAGCAGATCCTGAGGAATTTCAATGCCTGCTGTAGTTTGCTGCACAAATTCCAGGTTTTCTCCCTCCTTTGGGGTATCCCAGCCCTCCTGAGGTGGAATTTATCCCTTTTCCCATTCCAGACTCCAGCCCAGCCCCCGAGGCTGCCAGGAAGGCTCAGCCAAAGAAGAAGCAAAGCTTCAAAACCATCGAGCAGAACCTGAGCAACATCAACATGCCCGAGGGCAGCCGCAGGGCCGAGGTGGGGCTGGGCTGCTCCTCGTCCTCCTCATCCTCCCTGCCCCCTGTCCTGCTTTTCCCTTCCTGATTTCCACCTCCATTCCCTGATTCCCCTCTCCGTTCCCTAACTCCCATTCCCAGATTCCTGTTCCCCAGTTCCCCTCTCCACTCCCCCATCCCCATTCCCCAATTCCTTTCTCCACTCCCCCATCCCTATTCCCCAATTCCCCCGTCCATTCCCTGACTCCCATCCCCATTCCTAATTCCCCCCTCCATTCCTAGGTTCCTATTCCCATCCCCATTCCCTAATTCCCCTGTCCATTCCCTGACCCCCATTCCTAATTTCCCCCTCCATTCCTGGGTTCCCATCCCTATTCCCCAATTCCCCCATCCATTCCCTGACTCCCATCCGCATTCCTAATTCCCCCCTCCATTCCTGGGTTCCCATCCCCACTCCCTAATTCCCCTGTTCATTCCCAGGTGGATCCCATGTTCCAGAGAGCAGCCGCCTCCTTCGACGAGTGCAGCTCTGCCGGCATTTTCCTGACGGGGCTGCGCTCCCAGGGCTTCCAGAGCCGGCTCCTTTTCCACTCTGAAATTGTCCCTCTGCCCTCCTCGGAGAGCCTGGCCCTGCCCAGCTCCCATCCCCTCACCGTGCCGGCTCTAAAAGGTGAATCCCAGCCTTTCCCAGCCTTTTCCCTGCTTTTCCTGCCCAAATCCAGCTCCTTTTCCCGTGTGTTTGCTCGCTGCTTGCATCGCTGGGATCTGGAAAACTGGGAATTTCCAGGCTGCTGGAAAACTGGGAATGTGGGAGGTTTGGGGTCCTGAGGCAGATGGGAATTCCAGAGCCAGGTAGGAATTCCTGAGCCAGATTAGAGATTCCAGAGCCAGGTGGGAATTTCTGAATTTGGGATCTTGTGCAGGAATTTTGGAGGTTTTAGGTCCAGAGGCAGATCAGGGATTCCTGAGGCAGCTTAGGAATTCCTGATCCAGGCTGGGGATTCCCGATCCAGGTGGGAGTTCCTGCCGGGATCTCAGGAATTCACCTGTATCCCACCTCTCCGCAGCCCTGCTGGCCCCGTGCCTGGAAAAACGCCGGATCTGCTCCTCCCTGGCCGGATTCCAGTTCACCAAGTGGGATGAGGAGTCCCACGACGAGGTGGGTGGGAATCCCTGAACCAGAGTGGGAATTCCTGAGTCAGATCCCTGATCCAGGCTGGGAATTCCTGATGCAGGCAGGATTCCTGACCCAGGCTGGGAACTCCTGTGTTGCAGTCGGTGTCGGCGCTCCTGGAGAAGTTCCGGAAGAGCGAGCAGGCCTTCGATCCCAACCTGGATCCCGACAGCGAGGAGGGCGAGGGCTGGGCCCCCTCCCAGCCCGAATCCCCAGCTGGGGATGGGATCCAGGAATTCCAGCCCAAAAGAGACTCCCTGGGCCACAGCAAGAGGTGGGGCTGGGATCCAGGGATGGGGGCTGGGCTGGATTCCAGGGGAATTCCCAGTACCTGGGAGGAAATCCTGGGAATGCCAAGGGAATTCTGAAAAGGGATAACAAATCCTGAGAATGCTGAGGGAATTCTGAGCAGGGATAACAAATCCCTCAGGAATGCTGATGGAATTCTGAGCAGCTGCCATTCTTTTTCCAGGAGCACTGGAGCCCCCCTGGGAGAGGGGGACATTGGCACGCTGAGCCTGCACGTGTCCCTGAATCCCGGGGAATATTCCTACTTCAGCCCCCGTGTGCTCTCCATGTGGGCCGGCCCCGAGCACTGGCGCTTCCGGCCCCGCCAGCCCCGTGAGTGCCCAGGGCAGGGAATCCTGCAATTCTGGGCTGGAATCCTGGAATTCCAGGCTGGGGAGGGCTCAGTCCTGGAATTCCAGGCTGGGAAGGGCTCAATTCTGGAATTCCAAGCTTTCCCTTTCCCCCTTTCCCTGCTGTCCCTCAGCAGCCCCAGGCCCAGAGAAGGATTCCCGGCAGAGGATTCCCAGGAAGGTTTTTGAGCTGGATTTCCAGGAGGACATCGACTTCCAGGCCCATTTCCAGAAGACCAAGGTGCCCTTTCCTCACAGCAGCCTGGAATTCCCGGGATTTGGGCAGCTCCAGCTGCGTGTCCTGGGGGGCACCTCCCACCCTGCCCCTTCCCAGACAAATCACTCCTTGTTTTCCATGGAAAACTGGTGGAGCTTCCTGTTTTTCCATGGAGCTGTCCAATCCCATTCCCAGGCATCCATAACTTTGGCCAAATCCATCCTGGAAAACCAGAACAGCCGGAGCACCACGCTCCCTGCAGACTTCAACTACGACCCCCAGACCCTGAGGCAGCTCTTCCTCAAACCCCTGCTCAAGGTGAGAATTCCCAAAAGAATTCCAGGGAATCATCCCAGGGAATCATTCCCAGCACCAAACCTCTCCTCACCAAACCCTGGGAATGTTCTGGACGTTCCCCAGGGCTGCTCTCACCACAAACCCTCCTGGAATGGCAAAAACGGGAATGAAGGGCCAAGGCCCAGCCTTTTCCCAGGAATATTTTGGAATGTTTTCCCCCAGCTCAGCCCGAGCCCGGATCCAGTGGGAGCCTTGGACAGCGAGGCTGGAATTGAGGATTACGACTACAACAACCCCAACGACACCTCCAACTTCTGCCCTGCCCTGCAGGTACAGCCTGGGACTGGGGAATTCCTGCTGGGCTAAAATCCATGGCCGGAGAATTCCTGAGGGGAGCAATCGGAGCTGCAGGGCTCTGCTGGCGTCCAGCCTGGCCTGGACATTCCCAGGGCTGGGAAAACTTTGGGATTTGTGCTCCCTGCAGCTGCCTTGGCTTTAGCCTTGCCTCAATTCCATGGGATGAGCCCAAATTCCATGGGGATGAACCCCAATCCCATGGGGAAGCCAGGCAGGAATTCCCACCCTCCTTCTGCCTCTGGCTCCTCCCAGGTGACTCTGCTGTCCCCCCGTGTCCCTGGCAGGTCCCTGACAGCGATGACGATCCCGATCCCGCAGAATTCCCGGGCCAGGCGGGGCCGTTCCCGCTCCCGGCTCATCCCGAGGCTCCGGAGTTCTCCAGGATCAACGGCGGGAGCGGCCCGGACTGCGGGGAGCTGGAGCTGATCGCCGAGCCCCACAAGGTCACTGGGAGCACTGGGAATGGGGACTGGGAATGACGGGAGGGACTGGGAGCACTGGGCTGGAGATTCCTCCCTGGCACTGGGAATTCCTCATTAGAACTGGGAATTCTTCCCTGGGCTGGGCTGGAGCAAAAACCTCTCAGCACCTCCAGGGTTAAAAATCCCAGGAGACCCCTGTGATTCCAGGGATTGCCAGGACTGACATTCCCAGAAGAACAATTCCCAGACTAAACACTGGGATTGGCAGTGAGGCTGCACTCGCTGTTATTCCCACGGAAAATCGGGAATGCCGATGGCTGTGATCCCGGTGATGATCCCGGTGATGATCCCGGTCAATCCTGGATTCCTCCCTCAGATCCATAAGATCCCCATCCAGTACGCCAGGACGGCCAAGAGGATGGACATGAGGAGGCTGAAGAGGAACATGTGGGAGCTGCTGACGGAGCAAGGAGAGGTCGGGAAGGGAAATTCCTGCTGGGAATTCTGCAGGGGTTCCTGCCCAGCTCCAGGGATCAGCCCCAATCCCAGGGGATAAACCCCAATCCCATGGGGATAAACCCAATCCCATGGGATCAGCCCCAAGTTTCCCATTGGCCAGGATGGGCCGAGGCTCCCAGGGGTTTTCCTTGGAATTTCGGGGCTCTGCATTCCTGGATTTTCCCAAGCAGGGGGAGGAGGCCGGGGAAGGGACGGATGCAGAAGTGGCCAGAGAGAAAATCCTGAGTGACCTCACCAAGGATCTGCTGCGCAGGTTGGGAATGGGAATAATGGGAATGGGAAAATCCCAAATGGGAATGGGAAAATCCTGAATGGGAATGGGAAAATCTCTCCAGGTGTTGGCGTGGGAATGGGAATGGGACAGGGAAAATCCTTCATGGGAATTGGAATGGGGCAGGGAAAATCTGAATGGGAAGGGGACAAGGAAAATCCCTCATGGGAATGGGACAATCCCTCATGGGAATAGGGCAGGGAAAATCCCGAATGGGAATGGGAAAATTCCTCTGGATGTTGGGATGGGACTGGGACAGGGCAAACCCCTGTGGGTGTTGCCAGGGAAGGCAGAGCTGTGCCCAGTCCCTGCTCCTGGGCACTCCTGGCTGCTCCGGCATTCCCGGGCTCTGATCCCGATCCCGCTTTTCCACAGGCTCCCTCCTACCATGGCCACCAACCTGTCGGTGCCCTTGGCCTTCGTGTGCCTCCTGCACCTGGCCAACGAGAAGGTGAGAGCAGGGAGCCATTCCCACCTATCCCGGGAATTCCAGGGAATGCAGCTCATCCCACCTATCCCGGGAATTCCAGGGAATGCAGCTCTTGTTGCAAATCCGTCCTGGTTTTTCCATGGAATGCAGCTCGTTCCCAACAATCCCGGGAATCCCATGGAATCTCAATCCCGGTTATTCCATGGAATGCAGCTCGTCCCATCCATCCCAGTTTTTCCATGGAATGCAGCTCATTCCCAGTTTTTCCAGGGAATGGAAACATTCCCAGCTTGTGCAGGGTTTGTCCCTCAGAGCCGTCCCAAGCATTCCAGACTTGGGAATCTGGATAAGGGAACAGAATCCCAAAATCCCAGAATTCCTGAGGCTGGAAAAGCTCTCCAAGGTCACAACGTTCCAAATCCCCACCTGGATTCCTTCCTCATCCAGGAGTTCCTTGGAATTCCTGCAGGGATGGAGACTCCAAACCCCCCCTGGGGGCTCCTTCCCGTGAGGAAATTCCTGCTCTGTCCCCATTCCCAGGGGATTTCATTCCAAAGCTTTTCCTTCCCATTCCCAGAATCTGAGGCTGGAGAGCACCGAGGACCTGTCAGATATCCGGGTGACAGCAGGGAACTGACCCTGGAGCCACTCCAGATCCAGCAGGGAATGCTGAGAATTCCCAAAATCCCAAATCCCTGGGAAGGATGGGATTTAGGGATGTCCTGGCTGGACAGATCCAGCAGCTTTTCCCTGGAATTGGGAATTCTGCACTTGACTGTGAACCCGGGCTGCTCTATGTCCCAAAATTTCCTGTGTCCCAAAGTTGTCTGTCTCAAAAATTCCTCTCTCTGTGTTCCAAAATTCCCTCTGTCTATCCCAAAATTCCCTCTCTCTGTCCCAGAATTCCCTCCCTGTGTCCTTCCCAGTCTGTAATTCCCAGTTTTTGGACTGACTGTTACTCCTGGCCCCCGTTCCCTTTTTTTACTGTTTCTAAGGTTAATAAATTTTGCACACTTTGGAGAGGGGCCTGGAAGGAATAACCCTGGAGTGGGGTGTGGGCAGCAAATGAGGACAGATCCCTAAAAAATGGGAATGCAGGGATCACAGCCTGGAGCAGCAGCTGGGAACGGGACCCAGGAGCCAAATTCTGGGGTGGGATCAGCTCTGGGATGGGGATCCTGGGTCCTTCCCGGGCTGGTGCCTGCTCAGTGGGATTTGGGGCCGTGTCAGAACCTGGATTTTCCTCCTGGATTTTCCTCTTTGGGCTCTTCCCGCAGCTCCAGGGGGAGCTGGGGGTCCCCAGGGGAGGGGTCTCCTCCTCTCCTGCCTTTCCTGGGATAAGGATTCCCATAGTGGGGGGGTCTCTTCCTCCTGAGACCCCTGCTTTTCCTGGGGCTGGGGCAACACCCAGAGCCGCAGTTCCCGACCCGCCGGGCTCTGCCCGCGCCTCTCCCTCGCTCTTCCCGGGATTTCTCCGCTCCAAGGAGCGGCCGGCGCTGCCTCCCGGGGCTCGGGAATTCCGCCGGGACCTCCCGCTCCTCTGCTCCGGGAATGCCGAGCCGCTCCCGGGGCTGCTGCTCCGGGGGATGGGAATGCCAGAGGCTGCTGCTGCTCCGGGGGATGATTTTCCAGGAATTGATGCTCCAGGCATTGATATTCTAGGAGCTGCCGCTCCAGGAGTTGTTGTTCCAAGGGTTGGTGTTCCAGGGGTTGATATTCCCGGAGGACTGGCGGTGCTCCCGCCCGGGCTGGGCGGGATGCGAGGGCAGAGCTGAGGCTCCGGGAGCTTCGGGCAGGGCTGGAGCGATCCCGCAGCCCCCGGATCGAAGGCACCGGACCTTCCTCTTCACCCTCCTCCTCCTCCTCGGTGCGGCGCCGAGTCCCGGACCCGGCCACGAACGGGTGAGGGGGCAGCACCAGGGACTGGTCCCGGTAATGGGGAGGGGTCCCGGTAATGGGGAGGGGGCTCTGGGGGCTCCCACCTGCAGCAGCTCCCGTGGCGCCGCTCGGGGCTCCTCTCCGGGCACCTCCTCAGGAAATCTTGGAAGGATTTTGGGATTTTTCACCCTCGGAGCTGCGGGGTCGGGACGGTTCCCACCAGCGGCCTCACCCAGGGGTGCTCAGCTGGCCCCGGGACCCTGGAACGCGAGCTCTTCCTAAAATCCCTTTATTCCTGAAACCCGAGCTGTTCCTAAAATCCCGTTTATTCCTGAAATCCGATCTGTTCCTAAAAATGCCGTTTATTCTTGAAACCCGAGCTGTTCCTAAAATCCCTTTATTTACTCCCGAAATCCCTTCCATCCCAGCGCCGATGGAGCTGGGAAGGCTGGACCGGGAGGGGAAACTGAGGCAGGGGCCCCGCTTCCCTCACCTTCGGACATCCCAGCTCGGACAAAAACCGGGAATAAAACCCCGAGCGGGGCTTTTTGCTGGTTTTTTTCACCCATTCTCGCTAAATCCCGCATTTATCGCGGGAGGGCGGGGAAGGGGGGGTTCGGGGGCTCCTTCACCCCCGGGAGGGGCGACAGCAGCCCGGTGCCCCTCCCGACTTCCCCCCGCTGCTGCTTTCTCGGTTTTTTGGCCCAAAATGAGTCACCGGGGGATTTTTTTTCTTTTTCTCTCATTTTTCGGGACTCTCTCACGAGTCGAAGCGGGGGTGGGGATTCTCGGGGGGCTGAGCCCCGACTGTCCCCGGCGTGTGAGCGGCTCCGGTGCCGCGGGACGGGGATTGGCAATCCCGGGACAAGGGACAGCATTCCTGGAACGCTGGGGACCCCCGGGAAGGGAGCGGGACCACGGCCGCGGAGCATCCCGCCGTGCCCCCGCCCTCGGGGCGGCTCCGCGGCGGCGAGCGGCGCTTCGGGGCCGGGAAAGTCCGGCCCAGTCATTCGGGGCGCGGGGGGAGAAGCCCCAAAACGCGTCCGTTCCGGTAAGGAAAGAGTCAATGGCTGCGGCTCGCCCCGCTCCCGCTCGCACACGCCACTTCCCCGAGCGGGGCTGACTCATCCCGGGCTCGGTCCCGCTCCGCGACACCCGCGCTCCGCTCCGGCCGCCCCGGAGCCCGGCCCGAGCCTCCGCCGGTGAGTCCGGGGGTCCCGGGGGGCTGGGGGGTCCCGGGGCCCGCCCCGAGCCGCGCGTCCCCCGCGTCCCGAGCGGGACCGGCCGGGAACCCCGAAACGCCGAACGCACCGGGAGCCCCGCGGGGGTCCCGGAGCCGCGGCCGCTCCCGGGGGTCCCCGGCCCCTCCGCAGCCCCCCGGGCACGTCGGGGGGGGGGGTTTGGGCAAACCGGCGGCGCGGGATGGGGAAGGGAGGATGACTTCAGCCCATTACTCAGCCGCCGTCACGGCCTGGCAGCGCTCCCGCGCTATTCCGGGCCGTGACGCTCCAGCCCCGCCAGTTTGGGCCTAAACCGGCGGGGTTTGGGTGCTTCGGGGAGGAGGAGCGGCCCCGGGGGCTGAGGAGCGGGGCGGCATTCGGGATGAGTTCGGAAAGCGCCGCCGCCGAAGCGCCCGGAATTAGTGTTGTGGTAATGATTGTTAGCTCATTAAGGGTGTAATTAGAGCCCGGTGCCGCCCCCAGCCCCGGTACCGGCGGCTCGGGGGTGTTGGCCCCGGCGGGTCGGGGCTTGCGGGGATTGTTGGCCCCGGCGGGGCTCGCTCAGCCCCGAACCGGCCGCGTTTTGCCCCAAAAGCCGCGGCGGTTTCCTGCGCTCGGAGCGCCGCCGGGAAGGGAGGAAACCGCGTCAGCGGTGCCGGGAACCGAACCGGGGCCGCGGGGGGGACACCGGGGACAGGGACACCGGCACCTGATAAACACCTGGGGGTGTGACAGCGGCACCCGCACACACAGGTGTGTGCGGGACACCTGCACCTCTGTGTGTGTGACACCTGTACCTGCACACACAGGTGTGTGTGACACTGTACCTGCACACCTGTGTGTGCCACCTGTACCTGCTGCACACCTGGACCCGCACACGGGCGCAGGCACCTGGCCGTGCTCACCTGCGCACACCTGGCGCCTCCGTGCCCCCCACATGCGCACAGAACCCCCGCACACACCTGCGCTCAGGTGCGCTCACCCACAGCCGTGCGCACGCTGCCGCTTCAGGACTACAACTCCCGGCGTGCCCTTCGCGGGGGGCGGGGACAGACAGAGTGACTACCCAATAAGAGAAGGGGCGTGTTGTCGCCAGCCAATGAGAAGCGATGGGGGCGTGGCGGCCCCGCCCCTCGGGCGCGCCCCTCGGTCACGTGGCGCGGGCGTGGCCGGTGAGCGCGAGCGGGACCGGGGGCACCGGAGGGGCTCGGGCGGGACCGGGGGGCGTGGGGAGCACCTGGGGACCCCCTCGGGACCCCCTCTGCCCGCCCCGCTCCTTCCTCAGGTTGGCACCGCCGCTTTTCGCCCTTTTCCCGGGGTTTTTCCTCAAAAACCTGGGGGGGATTCGGGGGCGGCGAGCCCGGAACGGGGGCGCAGGGGGGGAGGCACGGACGGAGCAGCCTCGGGCGGTTCCGGTGCCCGACGGGCACCCCCAAATCCCCGCGACTGCCGCGTCATTTTAGGAGAGCAGCAGAAATTCGGGGTCTCACCCTCCCCCCTTTTTTCCCCTCCCAGGTCCCGTCCCGAACCCACAGGCAGCGATTTCCCCCCATGGAGAAGAACCAGGAGCCGCAAGGAGACCCCCGGGACCCCCCCAGCCCCGCCCAGCCCGCCGTGAGTGCACTCCGGGGGGTTTTGGGGGTGCTGAGCGCCCCAAAATTCTGGGGAGGGAGGGAGAAGCGCGAGCAGCGCTTTGGCCGCCGGTGGAAGTGAGGATGAGGCAGAGAAATGTGAAATTCCAGCTTTGGGTGGGGGGCGAGGGAGGGAATGGACTAAAAATGGCATTTTTGGGGGCAGAAGTGAGCGGTCCCATAGGAATAGGATCGTTTTTGTAATTATTTTTTATCCTCGTGAAGAAAAGGGGTTTGGATTTTGTGGCGCTGGAGCTTTTCCCTCCCCCCAGCAGCTTTTTATTTCACACACACACACAAAAAAAAAAAAAAAAAAAAAAAAAAAAAAAAAAAAAAAAAAAAAAAAAAAAAAGAAAGAAAAGAAAAAAGAAAAAAGAAAAAGCTTTGAACTCTTTCAGCCGTTAAATCCGGTGTCTGTCACAAGCCGTTAAATGAATAGAAAGAACAAAAAAAAAAAAAAAAAAAGGGAAAAAAAAAAATAAAAGACTGAAAAAAAATAGAAAAGGACGGACTTGGGAGCCGAGCAGCTTCTTTGCCCAAAAATAGCAACAAGTTTTATAACTCCGGAAAATGTAGAACAAACAAACGAGGAACATTTTTAGCTGAGAAAGGCGGCGGCGGCGGCGCGGGGGGGCTGAATTTCGGAATTTCTGCCCGTCTGTTTTCCTGGAAGCCGCTCCTCGTGTTCTCGCCCGCATCCAGCGCTTTGACCAACTTGGCCGCGGGCCCGGGGCTGCCGGGGAACGGCCCCGAGCTCCTCGGGCTGCCGGGGAACGGGGCCGGGGCTGCGGGGAACGGGCACGGAGCTCCCCGGGGCTGCGGGGAACGGGTCCGGGGCAGAGGGGAACGGCCCCGAGCTCCTCGGGCTGCGGGGAACGGGGCCGGGCTCCCCGGAGAACGGGTCTGGAGATTCCCCGGAGCTCCCCGGGGAAGGAGCCCGGAGCTCTCCCGGGGAACGGGGGTGCGGGTGGAGGGGCCGCAGCTCCTCCAAAACTCAGCCCCGTGTCCCGCAGGACGAGCCGGGGGCCGGGGATGGCGCCGAGAGGGACAAGGCGGTGGGAGAAGGTGGGGACAAGGACAAGGACGAGGAGGACAAGGAGAAGGAGGAGGAGGAGGCTTTCCTCGTCAGCCTCTACAAGTTCATGAAGGAGCGGCACACGCCCATCGAGAGGATCCCGCACCTCGGCTTCAAGCAGAGTACGTCCCCCCACCCGGGACGGGGACAGGGACAGGGGGTGGCCGTGCCCCGGTCCCGTGTCCTCCTGAGCCTCAGCATCTCCCCTCTCATTATTCCCAGTTAACCTCTGGAAGATCTACAAGGCCGTGGAAAAGCTGGGAGCCTACGAGCTGGTGAGTGGTGGTCATGGAGCTGGGGTGGGCACCAGGGTGTCCCTTGGGCATCCCAGTGTCCCCTGGGTGCCAGGGTGTCCCTTGGGCATCCCAGTGTCCCCTGGGTGCCAGGGTGTCCCTTGGGCATCCCAGTGTCCCCTACATGCCCAGATGTCCCCTGGACATCAGGGCTGGACACCAGGGTGTCCCACAGGTGCTGGGGTGTCCCCTTGGGTGCCCCGATGTCCCCTGGGTGCCAGGGTGTCCCTTTGGCATCCCAGTGTCCCCTGGGTGCCAGGGTGTCCCTTGGGCATCTGAGTGTCCCCTGGGTGCCAGGGTGTCCCTTGGGCATCCCAGTGTCCCCTGGGATGCTCGGACGTTCCCTGGGTGCCAGGGTGTCCCCGGGGTGTCCGGATGTCCCCGGGATGCCAGGGCTCACCCCTCCCTCCCTCCCTCCCGCCGCAGGTGACAGGCCGCCGGCTCTGGAAGAACGTCTACGACGAGCTCGGGGGCAGCCCCGGCAGCACCAGCGCGGCCACCTGCACCCGGCGCCACTACGAGAGGTGGGACCGGGCCGGGGCCGGGGCGCTGTCCCGCCGCGTGCCTCAGTTTCCCCCGGCGCGGCGCTCACGGCGCTCCCCGCTCGCTCCGCAGGCTCGTCCTTCCCTACGTGCGGCACCTCAAGGGCGAGGAGGACAAACCGCTGCCCCCCAGCAAACCCCGCCGGCAGTACAAGGTCTCCAAGGACGACAAGAGCAAGAGGGCCAGGAAGGAGAAGGGCCGCGAGCAGGTGCGCGGCCCCTCCGGAGGGGACGGGAGCAGCCCCGGGGATGGGCAGGGCAGAGGGATGGGCCGGGAATGAGAGCGGGGGGTGGGAGCCGAGACCCCAGGCCGGGGTGCGGCACCCACAGCCCGACCCCTCCGCTCGCAGGTGGCTCCGGACAAGGCGCGGCCGGAGGCGGGCGCGGAGGACGCGGCGGAGCGGGGCCGGGGGACAGACGGACGCTCCAGCCCGGCCATGCCGGCCCCCAGCCCCTCGGGGAGGTGTCCCAGCCCCTGCAGGAGCCACAGCGAGACCTACAAGCGCCTCTTCTCCAGCTTCTACTCCAAAGGGAACCACCCCATCATGTCCCCGCTGGCCAAGAAGAAGCTGCTGGCGCAGGTGAGCAAGGCCGAGTCCTTGCACTGCCACAAGCGCCACTGCCCCGAGAGCCGCCGGGCACCGAGCGACAGCGGCCCCGAGCCGCCCGGGCCGGCTGAGCAGAGGAGCCCGGAGCCGTGGGGAGCTCCGGACAGAGCTCCGAGCGTGGCGAGCCCGGCCCACAGCGCATCCCCGGCGGGCAGAGACATCCAGGGCTGCCCGCAGGACGGCAGCGCGGCCCCCGCCGTCTTCACCGGCTACTTCCACGCCTACCGCAGCGAGGGCCCGCAGCCCGGCGGCTGTCCCCCGCTCTGGGGATACTTCTCCAACCTGAAGGATTTTTTGGAGCCGCCCTCCGCCTTCCCGGCGCGGCCCGAGGAGCCCGAGCAGCCCCCGGAGCTGCGGAGCCAGGGCCGGCCGTGGGAGGGCCGGGCCGCCGCTGTCCAGGCTTGCTGGGTGCCCCCCGGGGCCACCTTCGGCCCCGCCGCGTCCCGGGCCGGCCACGGCCGCCACGAGGAGGAGGAGGAAGATGATGATGATGAGGAGGAGGAGGACGAGGAGCCCTTCGGCCCCAGTGCCAAGTCACGCGCCGTGTCCCCCTTGGCCAAGGAGGGCAGGGACAGGCGGAGCCGCTCGCCGGGTGGCCACCAAGTGCTGGCCAAACCCAAGGCCGTGGTGGCCACTCCGGCTTTCACCGCGCCGCTGCCGCCGGACGCTTTCAAGGGAGCCGCGCTGCATTTCCCGGGCGGCTTCGGGAGCCCCCTGGAGCACCTGAGAACCCAGGGCGTGCCGGTGGCCCCGGCGCTCTCCGTGAGCCCCTTGGTGATCCCGGCCTTCCCCAGCCCTTTGGTGGTGGCCTCCGAGCTGTGCCGCCCGCTGGCCACCGGCGCCGGCCGCTTGCCCGCGTCCTTCGGCAGCTCGCCGCGGCCCCGGCTGTTCCCGGCGGCTCCGTGGCACGGGCAGCGCTCCTGCGGCTCCCCGCACGTCCCGGCCTTCCCGCACCACGCCAGGCCCTAGCGCTGCCACGGCGGGGACAGCGAGGGGACAGCGAGGGGACAATCCGGACTGGGCCGTTTGGATTGCCCAGCTCAGAGCTGTTGGTAGCCGGCGGTGACCGCGGCAGGGTTCTCTCTATTTTCTATATATCCACACACAAATCTATAAAAAAGGGAGCAACAGCGCTGCTGGAGGTCTCTGTTCGTGCTGGGGCGCAGGCTGTTCCCATCCCTGGGCCCCCACACCCGGATTTGGGGTTTGGGTCACTCCATCAGGGGTGGAAAGGGAACAAACGTGCCTGGCTGCTCCCCAGTTGGCAGTTTGGGGTGTCCTGGATTCCTGGGACCAGGGCAGGGCTTGGGGGGATCCTCTCCCCGAAGCCAGAGCCGTGGGGCTGAGAGCTCATCTGTGGGGAGGGAAGGAGGAGCTTTTCCACCTCACTTTTGGGGGAATCTCAGCAATTCCATGGAGCAGCCCCATGTCCAGGTGGGAACCAGCCCAGCAGCAGCTCCAGGTCCTTTGTGCCTCCAGGTCCTTTTTGCCCCCAGCTCCTTTTTTGCCTCCAAGTCCTTTTTGCCTCCAGGTCCAGGTCCTTTTTGTCTTCTGGTCCTTTTTGTCTGCTGGTCCTTTTTGTCTTCTGGTCCTTTTTGCCCCCAGGTCCTTTTTTGCCTCCAGCTCCTTTGTTGTCTCCAGATCCTTTGTTGTCTTCAGGTCCCTTTTTGCCTCCAGAATCCTTTTTGCCTCCAGGTGCTTTTTCCCTCCAGGTGCTTTTTGCCCCCAGCAGCTGCACCTGAGCCGTTCCAGACCATGCCAAGGCTCTGGGGGAGCTCCAGGCCTCGCTCTGCCCCTGGCAGCTGCTCCCCACCCGCAGTGACAGCGGGCAGGACACAGGGACAGTGGCACCTCCTTGTCCCCAGGGCTGTGACAGCTTCAGGAGGAGCAGGAGCTGTGAGTCGGCGTGGAAGGATCACAGAATCCATGGAAAGGCCAAGTTTGGGGACAGAAATTGGGAGGAAGCTGAATTTTGGGAAAGGTTCTTCCTCAGAGCGTGCTGGGCACTGCCCAGGGAATGGGCACGGCCCTGAGGCTGCCCAAGCTCAGATTTTGGGGAGTCTGTGCAGGGCCAGGGGCTGGATTGATGATCCCAGTGGGTCCCTTGCCACGCAGGAGATTCCAGGATTCTCTGATTATTTCAGGGAGCTGCCCCCTGTGGATCCTCTGTCCCTCCATCCCTTCACTGCTCACAAAATCCACCCTCAACAAAAGCCACCCCTGGAGTGGCCACAGCCACAAACTCAGTCCAAAAGCACAACCAAATTTAAAAAAATATTTAAAAAAAGGAATTTTTTTATTAAACAGCAACAAACCCAGAAAAACACGTCCCCTTTCCCACCGTCCAGGAATTCTGGGGGTCCCCACAGCCCCCAGGACAGCGTGGTTGCTGCTGGGCAGCCCCACAGTGTCCCCAAAGTGTCCCCAAAGTGTCCCCGCAGTGTCCTGGAGATGCCTTGCAGGACAGGTGCCACCTTGGGGTGCCCTGGCTGGCACAGGGCAGCCTCAGCAATGCCACACCAGGCCAGTGCTGCCAGCCTGGCCTCCCACACCACAGGGGCTCCGTGGTGCTCACTGTGGACAAGGGGACAGGGTCAGTGCTCTGGGGACATCCTGCACAACTCCCCCCCTGAGCCTGGTTCATCCCCAGCACTGGCACAGCCCAGGCAGGGCAAGCACAACACCCAAACTGGGACTGCTCGTGCCCAGGGCACCCAGATCCAGCACCCACACTGGCACAGCTCCATGCCCAGATCCCCAGGAAGCATTTCCCTGCTCAGATCCCCAGGATCCAGCACCCACACTGGCACAGCTCCATTCCCAGAGTACCCACACTGGCACAGCTCCATGCCCAGATCCCCAGGAAGCATTTCCCTGCTCAGATCCCCAGGATCCAGCACCCACACTGGCACAGCTCCATGCCCAGATCCCCAGGAAGCATTTCCCTGCTCAGATTCCCAGGATCCAGCACCCACACTGGCACAGCTCCATGCCCAGATTCCCAGGAAGCATTTCCCTGCTCCAGGAGTTCCTCTCTCCCTGCAGTTTGTCCCCCCCTGGGGCAGCATGCCCCGGGGTTCCTGCCCAGCCAGGCCCCTCAGGGCAGCCCTGGAGGCTCCCTGGCAGTGCCCAAGGCCAGGCTGGACAGGGCTTGGAGCACCCTGGGCAGGGGAAGGTGTCCCTGCCATGGTGGGACTGGGTGGGCTCCAAAGTCCCTTCCAGGATGCTGAGATCAGCAAGGACAGACCCCACAGCTCAGGCCTGCCCTGACTGCACAGGCTGTGACTAAAATCTGTGTCCCTGGCAGGGAAGAGTTCAGGATGGGACAGGAATTCCTGCCTCCCAGGGCTGGGAACTCTTCTCACACCATCCTCACTCAAACCCCAGCTCCAGGAGAACCACAGAGGTGGCTGTCCCCACACTGCAGGGGACAGACACCCCACAAGGTCCAAGTTTAGTGAGAAGATAAACCCAGTTTTACTCTGATTCTCACCTCCCAGTCACACAAACCCTCAGGTTTCTCCTCACACTCCTCCCAGGGGAGATCCCTGTGAAGTGCCCACCCCAAAGCACAGCTCAGCCCCAAATTGAAACCCCAGCTTGCTGCAGAGCCCTCAGCTGGAACTGCAAGGGGAATCTCAGCTCTGGCTGCTGCTGAGGCCTTTGGGGAAGGTTACGTAACCCCGCTGATGTCAGGGCTAAAATTAGGAACAAACCTCATTTCCTGTCAGAGCTGCTTTCAGTTTGCTTTGGAGCAGCCCTGGCACGGTTTGAGCCCTGCCTTGAACACACAAGCTCAGCGTTGTAACCAAAAAATTAACCCTTTCCTGGATGGCCTCAGCCTGGAGACCAGGTCCAGCCCTGCTCCTGGGTGTCAAGGTGACAGGGACACCAAGGGCAGCACAGCAGCTCTTAGGGGCACTGAAAAGCACCAAAGCTGCCTCTGACACAGAATTTCAGACCTTTCCCCACTGACCTGAGGGGCACCAGCTCTGGGATGCAAGCTCTGAGCTCAGTGAGTGCAAGAAACCCATGAAAGTCAAGGGAAGAAAATCCCAAAATCCTGAGATTTAGCTGAGACTCTGCCTGGAAAATCCTGGACACGATGGGTGCAGGGTCAGGCCTGGGGCAGCAGGAGCCAAACCAGCCTGGGACAGTGGGAGGTGTCCCTGCCGTGGTGGGGGTGGCACTGGGTGGGATTTGAGGTCCCTTTGAGCCCAAACCATCCCACGATTCCATGGGATCAAGGACAATCAAACCTGGACAGACACAGTGACAATGCCCTGGCTCCTGTCACCCCCTCCTCACACCCCAGACATGGAACAGCCACACCTGGCAGGGCCAGGAGCTGCCCAGGTGAGCAAGGAGAGCTGTCCCCCTTACCTGAGGGCCCTGGGGCTGCTCCTCCAGCTGGGGCTGAGCTGTGCCCAGCCCTGCCTGGCTCAGGGTGCCCACGCGGCCGGGCTGTCCCCGCAGCGTCACCGTGATGGTGGCCGGAGCCTTGAGGCCTGCAGAGCACACAGAAATGTCCCTGAGACACAGGGATGGTGGAGGCCACCTCCAAACTGGGCTCAGAGTGACCTCTTGGGAAGCACCAGCCCACAGAGCAGGAGGAGCTTTGGGAAAAAAGCTCCAGGCACCAGCAGCACCTCCCTCCCTCCCTGCCTGCCTCCCTCCTGCTCACCTGCAGCCTGGTTGGAGATGTGGGCCAGCCCGGGCAGGCTGCTGGCCAGCTTGGCCAGCCCCCCGTTGCTCAGCAGCTGGTGGATGGCCGTGGGCTTGCCGCTGGCCGAGGCCCCCAGGGCCAGCGAGGTGGCCACGGGGATGGTGCGCACCACGGCGCCCGCGTCCGTGCTGATGGCAGCCAGGCTCTGCAGCGCCCCGGGGGCCTTCAGCGCCGAGCTCTGCAAGGACAGGGCAGCGCTGAGCTCCTGCAGGGCCGGGCTAAGCCGAGCTCTGCAAGGACAGGGCAGCGCTGAGCTCCTGCAGGCCTGGGCTAAGCCGAGCTCTGCAAGGACAGGGCAGCGCTGAGCTCCTGCAGGGCCGGGCTAAGCCGAGCTCTGCAAGGACAGGGCAGCGCTGAGCTCCTGCAGGCCCGGGCTAAGCCGAGCTCTGCAAGGACAGGGCAGCGCTGAGCTCCTGCAGGGCCGGGCTAAGCCGAGCTCTGCAAGGACAGGGCAGCGCTGAGCTCCTGCAGGCCTGGGCTAAGCCGAGCTCTGCAAGGACAGGGCAGCGCTGAGCTCCTGCAGGGCCGGGCTAAGCCGAGCTCGCGTCCGTGCTGATGGCAGCCAGGCTCTGCAGCGCCCCGCACCACGGCGCCCCCGAGCTCTGCAAGGACAGGGCAGCGCTGAGCTCCTGCAGGGCCGGGCTAAGCCGAGCTCTGCAAGGACAGGGCAGCGCTGAGCTCCTGCAGGCCTGGGCTAAGCCGAGCTCTGCAAGGACAGGGCAGCGCTGAGCTCCTGCAGGGCCGGGCTAAGCCGAGCTCTGCAAGGACAGGGGCAGCCCTGCAGGGCCGGGCTAAGCCGGGATGGCCATTCCCCTCTCCAGCAGAGCCTTTGGGGTTTCCACACTTCTCCCTGGCCATGGGCAGGGCTGGTCCTGGTGGATTTGTCCCTCCCAGCCTGGAACTCTGAGGGGGACAAAGTGGGACCCTGAGAGGTGCCAGTGTGGCTTTTCCCAGGGAATGATCACTGATCCTTCCTGGAAATCTGAGGGGGACAAAGTGGGACCCTGAGAGGTGCCAGTGTGGCTTTTCCCACAGATCCCTCCCAGCTCAGCAGTCTGGGGGCTGCCTGCACAGAAACAGCTCCTCACAGAGCCCTTTGAGGAGCACCCCTGATCTCCCACCCAGGCTCCCTCTGTCCCCCAAAGCCTCCCCTGCCCCGTGGGGTCTCCAGGGGCTGCTCACCTGCACAGGTGAGCCGGCGGCGGCCGCGCTGGGGGCCAGGCTGGAGGCCTTGGTGCCCATGTCCTGCAGGCTGAAGCTCAGCCCCTGGAGCAGGCTGCTGGCAGAGGCTGCTCCTGAAAACCCAGGGAAGGACAAGGTCAGCCTGGGAGGGGTCACCAGCACCAAATTCTGGAGCTGGCCTGGGGCTGCAGAGCTGTTCTCCAACCTGAGGGCACCGGGGGTCC